AATAAACACTAAGGAGGTGAATGGAACAGATGTGCAATTGTTAAAGGGAAACAGTTGCATTTTATTTACTTTTTATTTTTGTGACAGATTTCTCTAGACCCAAGATAGAACCAAGACTGGGTTTAATTTCTTGAAATAAGGACAAATTAAGCATGCTTGAGTCCTTCTATCCCTGCTGCTGTTTTAATACATCATCTATTCTTTCCCAGCAAAAATCTAATACAGTGGTTGGAAGGAATGCATTGTGCAAAAATAAGGAAAGCCGGATGTATTGGTTAACCAGAGCTGGATGGTTGTGGAAGATCAAGGAAATAATCAATGTCAAAGAGAAATCTCTGAGTAGCAAACAGCTGGGCAAGAATTTACCATGAAGGTCTTAAAATTAGCCAATAAGTAGCTTTATGAGCAGTAGGGGAGGCTGGTATTGTTTGTCACGTCATAGATAAAGATTTTGACTTCATAACATCCAAACCAACTAGGTACTTTACAGAGGAAGTTAAAATTCTACTTTGGTGCCTTGTTGTTAAGGTCTTAATAGGGCTAAAAGCATAGCTAGCTCTGTATGCATTGTTTGGAGGGCACTGCATGGTAAGCAATGAATAAATTGAATTTTCTCTGTCTCTTTCATAGGAAAACTGGTGCTGCAGTAAAGATAGCAGATGGAGATTGTAATGATGAGTAATTGAGGTGATTTAAAGAAAATCTACTGAAAGTTAAAGATTTTTGAAAAGTTTCTATAGGTTCTATAAAATGTCAAAGCATTTCTTGAGTCTGCCTTTTCTCTATAGTTGTAAACAGGTTACAGTGCCCATTTGATAACCCATTAGTTATTAACTATAGTACTAAATTTGCCCTTGTACCAAATGACCCCCCAGAGAAAATCTGTCTGTTTGATTACAATAATAATAGGTCTCTAACAACTGAGTTTACTTAGCTAGATGTTAATTGATCCACTTAGAACCTTCCACAAGAGTCTGTGAATGTTGCAAAAAAGATTGCAGGGCGCTGGCGGAAAAAATTAGAAGACATTTGGTGAATCAAGGGTTATGAACTGTCAAGCTTTATTGAAGGAAAGAATTTGTTAAAAATGTCTGAGTGGAGCTGAGCATTAAAAAGAATTATGCAAAATTTAATTACAGATAGAGGCTTGTGAACTATTTTGTTAAGGTGTAATCTTAATTTTCACCTGAGAGGAATAATAGTGATCCTTTAATGAATTGAGATTTGGGTTATAAATAAAAAGCAAGGAGATTTGTTGTTATTGCTCATTGTATTACATTTCCCTTGGTCAGAGATGTCTGGAATTTTGCAGCGTAAAATCCATAGCCTGGATAGCTAAAAGGCAATTGTTAGCTCCTAAACCAGTAATTCTTCCAAGAGAAGGAAATGTCTGATGATTTGGAGAATGGAGATTAGGGCATCCCCAATCCTGACCTGAGATGATGTCGAACATTTTCTAAGTGGATAATTTTAAACAACTGAGCAAGGGCTCTCCTTCAACAGAACCAGACCCTGACCAGGAGGTTAACCAGATTTTTGAGTTTCCCCTCTCCCATTTCATTATAGAATGCCTGTACTCCATTCACTTTCAGCCATCTTTGCATTGTCCTATTTTAGAGGAAGGACAGAACATGTGGCACAACCATACTATGTATCAGCTAATAGGGATGCTGAAAGAATGACACAACTCTTTAGGCATTCAGATACTGCAGTGATGGCAAAATATAGAAACCAAAGGAGACAGACAATTAACACCCTCTCCCCAGCGTGTGAACCCATTATCTCTACATGTCTAAAGCCCACAAGCAGGAGTCTAAATATTACTCCCAAAACCTAAGCACGTACATTGCCATTAAATAACCACAGAGGACTAAAGTAGAAATATCACATTGAATTTGTAACTTTTCATACACTGAGACCCAAACCACACAAAACACCTCCATAAAAAGTTACATGCAAAGGGGGTATTTCATCATGCCCCTTTGTTAATTGCACAGATACATAGGACAACTTGAGGATGTAGATTTTGATGTACAGTAGAATGACATGACCCATGTACACAACCTGTCTACTATTTAACTTCCATATCATGGCACTATAGTTATGGCTAGAGAATTACATAAACAGTATCTGTGCTGCATTTCTATATTCATAGCTATTACGGGCCAGCAGTGACAAAACAAATTATGAGGGGGAGCTCAGAAAGTGGGAATATAAACAGCACATTTCAGTGCAAATATGCAAGATGTTTCACATCTATTATTTATCTCAGGTCTATCCTTGGTTGGTCCCCTGAAAACAGCTCATAACCGTAGTTTTTGTGTAAAGAACACTTAGTGCTATATATCAGGTACTACGGGTCTGATGCTTAATGTGTCGAGTGCCCTCAACTTTCACTGAATTAAATGGGAATTGATGGTGCTCAGCACCTTGCAGCAGTTGGGTCTAATTTACTATACGCAGTGGTTCTCAAACTTTAGCAACCCAAGGACGCCCCTTTTGATTTAAAATTTTTTTTGCTGAGCCTCCTGCTCAGCCCCAGCCCCCACTCCACCCCTTCCCCCAAGACTCCACCTCACCCTACCTTTTTCCACCCCCTCTCCACCCATGCCCCTCCTCTTCCCTGCCTCTTTCCGCCCCCTCCCCTGGGCACGCCCCATCCCCACTCCTCCTCGTCCCTCCCAGCACCTCCTGCATGCAGCTGAACAGCTGTTTCCAGGCATGCAGAAGGCACTGGGAGGAGTTGAGGGACGGGGTGAGGAGTTGAGCAGCGAGGCCCATGGACCTCCCTTTGAGAAACGCTGTACCATAGCATTTCAGTGCATTGATACTCCAATAATGAAATGATAAGTTTTCAATTACTTTTAATATGCTTAATTTTAAACAGATTTAATCACTGTCAGATTGGTGCTGTGCTCTACTCCTCCCTCAGCACAAGAACATGAATATTCTGGTACGTCAATCAAAGTTACAAATACTACTTGTGCATTAAATCTTCTACATGGCAGGAGATTATTATGCACAATTTCTAGCAGCCACAGTAAAAACTTCCTTGTAGTTTTATCTACCTATCTGCCAGTGCTTCTATATCGTGATGCGAACTTTTCTCAAACTAGCGGTAAAAATTTCCCAAATCTGGTGAAAAATTCCCAGAAAGTTTTTTACAGTGCTTCTATATCCTGGGAAATTTCCCCAAACCTGGAAATGTGTGAGTAAAATGTTTCAACTTGGGAAATTGGGTATTTTCATTCAAAACATTTTACTCAAATTCCCAGATTTGGGGAAATTTCCCAGGATATAGAAGCACTGCTACCCTCTTTGAAATAAGAAACAAAATCAATGCACAAAGCCTTGGATAATACCCCTAAAAAGGGATTGGCCCTTGGTCACAAGCTTTAAGTATCAGAGTGGTAGCCGTGTTAGTCTGTATCAGCAAAAAGAACGAGGAGTACTTGTGGCACCTTAGAGACTAACACATTTATTTGGGCCTAAGCTTTCGTGGGCTAAAGCCCACTTCATCAGATGCATGCAGTGGAAAATACAGTAGAAAGATATAGATATATATACTGAGAACATGAAAAAATGGGTGTTGCCATACCAAGTCTAGAGAGACTAATTAATTAAGGTGGGCTATTATCAGCAGGAGAAAAAAAACCTTTTGTAGTGATAATCAGGATGGCCCATTTCAAACAGTTGACAAGAAGGTGTGAGTAACAGTAGGGGAAAAATTAGCATGGGGAAATAGTTTTTACTTTGTGTAATGACTCATCCAGTCCCAGTCTTTATTCAAGCCTAATTTAATGGTGTCCAGTTTGGGCTTTAGCCCACGATAGCTTAGGCCCAAATAAATTTGTTAGTTTCTAAGGTGCCATAAGTACTCCTAGTTCTTTAAGCTTTAAGTACTGTTTTTCCTGACTGTTGGTCCACAACATTGCTTAGCTTCAGAAACTACAATCTCTCTTCTACTACAACATTTTAGGTGAAATCCTGCTCCATTGAAGACAATAGCAAAACTGCCATTGACTTCAGTGGAGTCAGGACTTCAATCTTTGTTTTTTTTAAACTACAAAATACTTTAGATCTGATCCACATTTACATGAATGGCCCTTTACAATCTCCAGGACTGAAAAGGGGTCTGTCAAAGACTCACCAGCTAGAATGTCCCTTTGTGGCAGGATGTGGTGTAGTAGGGACTTCTCCTGCGGCGTCCCCTGCCAGTTGTCCCTCTGGCCCTGCAGTGGTCTACATCTTCTCATTACTCAATCCTCTGGCCAGGTCACTTTAAAGTCTCACCCTTTCTCGGGTATGAATGTCCCACACAACTCTAATTATCAACATGGCATCTTCCATCTGTCATGAGCTCCTCTGCAGTCCCATTCTTTTTTTCCCCAGGGGTGGGAGTGGGGTTCCAGACTTCTTCCCAACAGAACTCAGGAAGCCCCAAGCACTGCTAAAGCAACCTTCATCTGTCTGGTTCTTGGGGAACTTTCAATCCCTCCAAGTTCTCCGCAGCTCCATTCCTGTTGTGGAAAACTGATCCCCGGCGCTACTTCTCTAGAATGTAGCCCCTTTCCCAGGGCCTACCCTGAGGCTAGCTTCCCTGTGGTTTCTTCCCTCTCCTTCCTGGGCCTTTCTGTCTTGGGTCTCTCCTGGATCTTCTACCCCAGTAATTTTCATTTCCTTCCATCAGAAGACCACCCAGCTCCTCCCCAAGCCTGACACACCCTCCAGTTACAGCCAGGTGGGCTAATTTGAGTCGGCTCCTGCTAACCCCTTTGTTCATCGATGTGGTTTATACCCCACCACAAGATCTTATAAAGAAAGTCCACCTTAAGGCTGTTTCACATGACTACTGCAATGTAAAGTGGCCTTAGTGTAAATGAGAAACAGCAATAACAATATTTTAAAACCCTTGAACCCACTTATATTAAACTACTTTAGACTAAGGTCTACCATAAAGTAAAGCACACACAGAGATTTATGATTTTCAGTATCTTTAATTGGCATTTCTAAAAATGATTATGTTTATTTAGAATGATTTATTTAAAAAAAAATCCTTTTTGCAAAGACAGCACTACACACTTCTAATTTCATGTGCACAGATGTTCACAGGGTTCTGCTCGCTAGATGTTAAGGATATACTTGGGCACTAAGAGCATGTGGCGCTTTGGTACCAAGTCCATACATTCTATTCTGTTCGTCTTCATCTCTGTATCAGCAATGGGCAGATTAGGTTCACTGTACCTTCTTAAAGACTTGTTTACATTTGACACCACCTACTCTTATTTCCTGAAAAGAAAAGATGAGTCGTAAGTGAGACTTTTACACAGTACATCCACTTGTGTATGTCAGTTTCTAAAACACCTACTTATATGCTTAAGTCAAATATTAGATGGACAATTACGGTGGATTCAAATTAAGGAACAAGTGTGTAATTTGATAATAGGAATGTATGATGATGCAGCAACAATAACTGAAATCGGATAGATCTGTGGAAAGAAAAAAGCTAATAATTAGTACAAGGGCCAAATATCCAGCCTAGGATTCCACTGTTGTCCACTTTTGCACACCTAACTGTTTGCACCCATCAAAATGGACATTTATCTGTTGTGGGCATACAAGCAGCATATTTGCATATGCAAACTGAGTAGTACCCCCAAGCTACATGTGCAAAAACAAGTTTTTGCATGTGCATAAGGACTGTGTCCCCACTGATGCATGGGTAATCAGTTGCAAGTGCCAAAAACAGAAGGCAGCTGAAAAATTGCCTCAGACTCTGACAAATTAACTGGAAGAAATATATTGAACAGTCAGTAGACATGGTACTTTTCTGCTTCATTACACATTATGCAAAAGAGGGAACCAAGAAGGGTGCAATCCCTAATTTAGTTTGGATAATTCCATGAAGATAATTGGTAATGGAGAACTGACGGGGCAGAGAAGAAGCAATTTAGAAGTGATCTAGTGCAGTGGTTCTCAAAGCTGGTCCGCTGCTTGTTCAGGGAAAGCCCCTGGCGGGCCGGGCCGGTTTGTTTACCTGCCACGTCCGCAGGTTCAGCCGATCGCGGCTTCCACTGGCTAGGGTTCGCCGCTCCAGGCCAATGGGGGCTGTGGGAAGGGCGGCAGCACAGCCCTCGGCCCACGCCGCTTCCCGCAGCCCCTATTGGCCTGGAGCGGCGAACCGCGGCCAGTGGGAACCGCAATCGGCCAAACCTGCGGGCGCAGCAGGTAAACAAACTGGCCCGGCCTGCCAGGGACTTTCCCTGAACAAACGGCAGACCGGCTTTGAGAACCACTGCTCTAGTGCATTTTGCAGTGCTCCATATGACAGAGGATTTTACCCAAAGGTTGGATTTGAGTGGAGCATGCTTTGTTGGATATCCAACACTTTTGCCTAGTGGCTGCCATGTTAGGTTTCATAATCTAAGACTTTAAAAAAAAAATTCAGTTGCTAGCCACTGGGGCTGCAGAGAGAGACTTTGCAGTGTGAACTGTAGCATGTAAACAGATGCAGTGATATTTACTTCTGGGTGTACCCATCTTGAAAGAACAGCTCTGAGAGAAGTATGGAACACCTTGTTTATCTTAAAGAATGTTCATGATGAAGCCAAATAAGAACACAACAACACTTTTGTTGCTGATCAAAGCACCCAAAAAGGAATAACCATTTTATGAAAATCTGCACTATATGCTGCAAGTAGCTCCTCATTTTGGGGTCACAAGTGGGCAGAGATTAGGAAATGGCCACCACTTGCTTTTTCAGATCTGCTTGTTGATTTTACTTGAGAAAACTTACAAAGAACGCAAGAAATTAAATCAATACGATAAAACAAAAGAAGAGGAAATGAAATGTGTTCAAAGATAAATTAATAAATGCCCATGATCTAGCAATGGATATTGTAGGAATAAACATAAGAACAGCCATACCGGGTCAGACCAAAGGTCCATCTAGCCCAGTATTCTGTCTACTGACAATGGCCAATGCCAGGTGCCCCAGAGGGAGTGAACCTAACAGGCAATGATCAAGTGATCTCTCTCCTGCCATCCATCTCCACTCTCTGACAAACAGAGGCTAGGGACACCATTCCTTACCCATCCTGGCTAATAGCCATTAATGGACTTAACCACCATGAATTTATCCAGTTCTCTTTTAAACGCTGTTATAGTCCTAGCCTTCACAACCTCCTCAGGTAAGGAGTTCCACAAGTTGACTGTGCGCTGCGTGAAGAAGAACTTCCTTTTATTTGTTTTAAACCTGCTGCCTATTAATTTCATTTGGTGACCCCTAGTTCTTGTATTATGGGAATAAGTGAATAACTTTTCCTTATCCACTTTCTCCACATCATTCATGATTTTATATACCTCTATCATATCCCCCCTTAGTCTCCTCTTTTCCAAGCTGAAGAGTCCTAGCCTCTTTAATCTCTCCTCATATGGGACCCGTTCCAAACCCCTAATCATTTTAGTTGCCCTTTTCTGAACCTTTTCTAGTGCCTGTATATCTTTTTTGAGATGAGAAGACCACATCTGAATGCAGTATTCAAGATGTGGGCGTACCATCGATTTATATAAGGGCAATAATATATTCTCAGTCTTATTCTCTATCCCCTTTTTAATGATTCCTAACATCCTGTTTGCTTTTTTGACTGCCTTTGCACACTGCGTGGACATCTTCAGAGAACTATCCACGATGACTCCAAGATCTTTTTCCTGACTTCTTGTAGCTAAATTAGCCCCCATCATATTGTATGTATAGTTGGGGTTATTTTTTCCAATGTGCATTACTTTACATTTATCCACATTAAATTTCATTTGCCATTTTATTGCCCAATCACTTAGTTTTGTGAGGAATACAAAAGACCAATGAGGGTGAAGGAAGGAAAGCAGAAAATGATCAAGGAAGAAAGGCATGTACAAAATAGGACTGCAGTTAAAAGGAAGGTAAATTGTATAAAATGATTAGACAAAGAAATGAAGGAAAAGGAAGCTTGCATCTAACTAGACAATTATTTAAATAAATACTTTAGATAGAGGAAAAGAGAAACAGAAAAAAGCCTTCAAGTACACAAGGAACAAAGTAAAATAAAGGAGACACTGCGGCCTCTGAAAGATGGGGATGATAATTTGTTTGGCTCAAGTGTTCACAAAGGAAGATTGGTTAGGAAGGAAACTACTGAAGAAAATCAAGATAAAGCCTGAACAGATAATTAAGATATTAAACATCTGGAGTGAAATCCTGACTCCACTAAAGACAATGCGAGTTTTGTTACTGACTTCAACAGGGCCAGGATTTCACCCCGAAGTCTAAGGTTCCAATCCTGCAAGCTGCTCTGCATAGGTAGACTCCTGTTCCTGCACAGAGCTTTACCCACACACAACAGCTTGCAAGACTGGGACCTAAGACACGGAACAAGCAAAGAGGATCTGTTCCAGAATCATCAAGGATGTAGCAAGAGAAATGGAATGGATATAATTAAAAACTGGACATCTCCCATAAGCAGTAGTTATATTTACTATGCTATTTGCCGTATTTTCTACATTAAATATAGGAAATACGGCAATAAAGATAAATACCACAATGTGGTAAATGGTCATTTTAAAATGATAGGCACTGTAGGTGTGTTCTGGAGAAGATCCAGCAAATTACAGCTTCACAAACTTTACTTCAGCGGTGGGGACAGTATTGAGAAAACCTCTTGAGGGATAGGAAAGGGCTGAACTTAGACATTTCTGACTTAACTGAATTTAGGAGACCTAACTTGAAGGAAATTTTTGAAAAAGTCTTATTGAACATTTTCAGGGAGTGAGACAGAGTTGACAGGGAAGTCATGAACATAATTTGCTTGGACTAAAGGAAAGCTTTCGATATAGTATCACACAAAAGACTAATCTAGGACAGTAAGTGTATTACTGGGCTGAGCTATTTGAATGGATGGCTGGATTTCAAAGTTACTAGTAAGAGGACACAGTTCAGGATGAATAGAAACAACTAGTAGAGTTCTACAAGGATTGGTATTAGAACCAATTTTGTTCAGTTTGATATATCAATGATCTGGAAAAAGGAACATGCAGTAAAGTTATGAAACCTACTGATTAAAAAAACACCCACAAACTGCTAGGGGCAGTCAATACAAAAGAAAAAGCCTATAAAATTCAGAAGGAACTGGAGAATGGCCAGATAACTGCCTGTTTCAAGTCACTGTAGTGAAATAGAATTTGAGGAAGAAAGGGGGAAAAAAAGAAGGAAAGAAGACTGTCATACTACAAAATTCAGACCAGGAGAACTAGCAGAGTGCAAGCATCTGGTGAGAAACTACTAAACCCCAAGGCATAACACTCAATATATTATAAAACTGTGCAAAGGATTAAATTAATATTTGGATCATTGTGTAAAGTTCAATAGGATCATAAAATAATTATTGAAGTATCATAAAATATGTTTATGGTAATTCGCCTTGGCACCAAAGGGCTCTCAGAACGACAGAGACCTGAAAATCTCAATTATTTAAAAGTTTTACAAGAAATGGGGTTTTGACCTTATTTAAAAAAAAAAAAGTCTAAGGAGGGGAGACCACAATGAGGATTCCAATGGGACTGAAGATGCCTTTTTGAGTTAGTGAAACATACAAGAAGTGACAAAATGTACATAAGAAAAGGCTGGGTATTAAAGCAATTTAGAGACTTTCTCCACCCAGAGTATTTTGTATACAACAGTGTCAGTCCTTGGCGGGTACAAAATAATGTGATTTGGCACGTCATGCTGAGCTGGAAATGGCAATGTTGGTTATGTGTCTGCTTGACTAGGAACCCTCCCCAGGGGCCCAGAGAGCCCTTGAAGCAGCAGGTCTGGACGCTGAGAAGTCAATGGCACTTAAGCACTTATGTAATTGTTTTGCTGAAAAGGGGTGGAGTAACACATGTGCTTAAAGATAAACATAGCGGGACTCCACAGCTGTGCTGCAGTCTTGTGACAAGGATTCCTTTCTCCATGACCCCTAGCAGACTTCCCCTGCCTGGAGCCTGAATACTCCAGACATATGTAGGAATGGGGACCTGGACAACAACAAGAACTGGCTGGTTTTCCCTACAATAAGTGCTCTGCAATGTCAGTGGGAAATCCAGCTTTGACTTTTGACCCCCCTCATTAAGTTCTCTCCTCAGCAAGGTCTGGGAGCATTACTGAGGCAGCACGTGTTCAGCTCCACAGAGGGAACGAATGACTGAAGGAAGGAGCTGTCATGCAGATTGATTCAGAAGCAGGATTAGCAGGCTCAAAGGGGATTCCTATCCATTATTTCTTGATGCAACGATGGTAGCTCTAGGCCAGCATGCCAAGTGATGTAAAACTGGGCACAATGAGGCTATATTGACTGAAAAATACATGCGTGGGTGAAATCTTGACCCCACTGAAGTCAGTGGGAGTTTTACCATTGGCTTCAATGGCGCCATGGTATCATCCATGGAGGTCACACACAGAGGCATTAGGCAGTGTGTGGAGAAAAAAAATGATTACATGGGACAGACCTAAATGTGTTTCTGGACCTCTTTCCCTCCTAACCTTTTGCAGACCCTTCTATGCAGTACAGTGGCATTCAGTTGGCTCTGGGTGCTGTTGCAGAGATCTCTGATGGCATCGTGTTACTGATCTGGAGACAGGGAGTCAGCATTCTAAACAGAACACTCCTAGGTGCTTAGTGAATTGAACGGTGAGTGGGACTAGAGGTCTGATTTGCTTCCTTCAGTGAGAAAAGAACATTTTACTACATCAGGTGAGCCTCAAAGAGGATGTTATGAACCTCTATCCAGAAAAACAAATGTTAGTTGCTGTTAACTAGGAAATATAGACACAACAGTCAGAAAGAACACGGCATTTTAAAAACAAAATTGCTCTCTTTATTTTTCTAAGCCAGAATTCATTCTGGCCCATAATTAAAAAGAACAATGGTATTTTTTTCTCCCTATGGCTTATGCTGCTGGATACAGAATTTCATCAGTCCCCATACTGTTTATATCACTGAGTGCATGAAGGATATTTCTATGACATGTCTTCCTCTCTGCACACAATTTAAATGAATAGATCTGAGAACAGACAGTTAACACAAAGATTGCCTGAATTTAGAACACTGCTCTTTGCAAAAGGGGCATGAGAGAATAATGGCCCTGCATGAAATTATTCCTCTAGAAGCAAGTCAAATGCAACACCAATGTTTAATTACTCCTCGGTAAGCCAAGATAATGTGCGGCAAGCTGTGTGCTATTACTTTCATCTATTTGAATAAATAAGAGAAAAAATTATGGCATTTAAAATATGTTACATGACCATACCAGATGCATTTCATCTCCTTCAATCCACTGGGTCCAACCACGGCCTTCTTTTTCTCCTTTCTGTATGCAAAGAAGTTTATCTCCATCCCAACTCACGTTAGTCTAGCAAAATATATACATGTTATTAAGCATTACTATGGCATTCAGTTTCATCTATTACACTTAGGTGGAGTCAATTTCCTTAAAGGAAAGCTTCAGAGTAATAGAATAGATATTTTAATCAGTAGTCTCTATCACATTACTAAGAAGAGAAGAGTATATCTCTCACACACACTTTTTTTAAAGCTTTTTGAAGTCATTTAAAAGAACAATTAAATGTAGTTTGATGGCAAAGTCTGAGCCACAGGAAATGACGCTGGGTGTCTCAATACATCAGAAAAGAAGGAGACTCTTAAAGCTGTTGTAAGAATCCACGTGGTATAGTCAGAGTTATGATTTTTCGGTAACATAAGCACTCTTTACATGATTTCTTCACAAATGCTGACCCTGAAGGTTAGCAGAAAAAGCTGCCTTAATGCACATGTATGACTGCCCTCCCCTTTTTTATACACGCAGGGTGCTCCATGTGCTCAGTCTAGTAGTATGTTTCCAAAAGGGCCTGAAACTTTGACCTTCTACAACTTCTGTTTCCCATCATTAGGTGGCCTCCGCAATCCTTCCTTCCGATCCTACACATGCCTGGGACCAACTACACCCTGCCTTAAAATAATAATCAGCTGTACCCAACAATAACTGTCCAAGCCTTTCCAAGGCATCCAAATGCTGAGCTGCAGTTTGTGTCCCAGGCTGTCCGACATCATTAATCGAGACTTTCTGTGGAAGTAGCATCTCGGCCTGGGAGACCCTTCTTTAGTTATAGAGATGCTGAAACTATGGCAGATTTCCTTTATTACATTTTTGGTTTTATTAAACACCCTTTTAGGCCCTGGCTCAGCAACCCTTTCTTATTCAGCAAAGCACTCAAACATGCCCTTCGCTTTAAGAAGGGGCGTAAGTCCCATTGGCTGTGCTGGGTTGGGGACAGTTCTGCAAACACTTATATATGACTACCTGAGTAGTTCAATGGGACTTCTCCCATGAGTAAAACAACTCACACGTGTAAGCATTTGCAGGATCAGGCCCTAAGGTAGTACAGCTTAATCATCTTTAAAGGCAACTACTAGGTTTTTTTCTTGTAACGTATGATGGATTGGATTGAAATGAAATATTGTTTTGTGATATAAAAACAAAAAGGACCTGATTTTCTGCTCCATTACGCTAGTTTTACACCAGTGTTACCCTGAGCACTGGTAGAATAATACTGGTTTTAAACCAGTGTAACAGAGTGGAGAACTGAGTCCAAGGACTAAAAAAGGAAGGAATTACTATGCAGATCTTGAAAGCCTTGAAGCCATTGCCTCTGTGAGCAGTCAAAAATGGAGAAAAGGTTTAATTCTACAGACATTATGGAAATTCACTTGTCTCCACCTTGCTTTTTAAAAAAAAGAAGTCAGCCTAAATTTGTCATGCTCAGGAGTTGAACACTGAATAGGGCTTAAGTACTACTCATCCCTATTCTTTTTTGAGAATGTGTCTGTTACAAACAATTAATTCTTAAATGATAACCATGATAGCCACCATCTATAAATCGGGTACAGCAGGCAGTCTCTACCCAGGGGAAGCTTTAGACTAAACAAGCATAGAAAATGAATCACGAGAAAGATTGCCAGGGTAAATAATTATAGGCGAGGCACTGTTAGCCATATGGGGTCTCTGAAGACAAACTATTCAACTGTCCTTGCTAAAAGTCTCTCCATTTTTTACAATGCATTCAGAAATGTTTTGGTCTTTCCCTCTAAAATACACCCAGTAGCACATCACATTCATAAAGAACCACCTACATTTTACTGTCTTAATACCTTACTACATGAAGGACTACTGATTCCAGAATTCAGCACATTCATCTGACAGGAGAAGATATGCATAAAAATTATTGTGAAATAAGTCACAAAGGGTTAAAATGGCCAGTGAGAAAATCTGAACTTCTAAGATGTTCTAGCCATTCATGAGAGTCACAAGTGTAACACTAGTTATCATTTGTCTCTTTTTGCAATGTCTATTTTTAAAACCAATTTCCATTAAAGATTAAATTGGCTTCCTTTACTCATGGGTTCCTTGCGGCCTGAACCCTTCTATTAAGAATTAATGATAGCTGCAGATATGCACCATGCTGCCATGGCAATCAGCAATATTGTTCTATACACCCCCATATGCACTAGTAAATGAAGAGTAGGAAGGCTATGTGGGCTCGTGAAATATACTAATGGAAATGATGTTTAAGAAATGTTGGTGAATATACAGGACATGCTCAAGTGACACTTGTTAAGGAAAAAACAATCAACAACCTCTCATTATTATTTTTAACTACCTTGACTTTTGCAGGTTTTCAGGAGTTTTTGTACCATAGAAGAACTAATCAAATTGTATTGGAACTAATCAGAAGCAGTTTGTGACAAACAGGAACAAGATTAAGTGACAAATGGAGAGGACAATGGGGCTGCATGGATTAAAGTGAGGGCAAGATCTGCACCTTAATTATCTACATAAATATAAAGGCCATAAATATTCTATAAAAAAGAAAAATTAGAGAAGGTCAATATCAAGGCATTCAAAGAGTGTGGTGGTGGTGGTGGTGGGTAACTTCAAAACAGACAAAACATTCATCTGCATTAGTGAGCTAGACTCTGAAGCTACACTGGTTTACACTGGCTGAGGATCTGGCCCTCTGACCTTCCTAGAGAACTGAGTGAAGTACATTCTTCCCATTGCACTGTGGGTAGCGGGGAATGGAACTGACCTGATAGCTGTGTTTCACCAAGCACAACCACAGTGAAAGTTAAAGTCTGTTTGGCCTTTAATGCAGCATAGAAAATCACTTCAGTGAAAGAAAAATTTACGAATAAAAGGCTCAGTCCTACCCCCAAATGAAGTCAAGGGGAGCATTTTCCACTGACTGCAAGTGGAACAGGTGTGGTCCCAATGAAAGCTAATTGTAGAACAAGTACCTATGAATATTAATTAAAGCTCAACAAATATGGCAAACAATACATTTCCAAATATTTGTTCTAATAAAGCCTGTAAATTCACTTTGGTGGCATTCACAATACTTTATATTCATTCCTATGAACATCGTACCAGTGATTTGTTTTTGGTTTTTATTCACAAATTAGGTAAATCTCAAACATACTTGTGAAAAATGTGTTTGTTGCCATGGTTTTTGCCAGGAGGGTGAATGTGGCCTTCTTAAAATTTATGTGATTCCTTTTCATCTGTTTATAAATTCTTCAGTCATCCAATCCCAGAGCATAAACAATAGTTGGTGACTTAGGCAACCAATAGCAACTAATCAAATTGAATAATGTGTCATCAATTCATAGTCTGAAATAAATTCATATAAAATCTGTCAAACAATTCTGAATAATGAAAAAAATCTGTAAAAATGGGCCCGCTATGTGAAGATAACTTATAGACACAAAAAAGGCTAAACGTACGGACTAAATAATTCACTACATATAGTTTGCACAGGTAATATAAATCGTAAGACACAAAGCAGCAACACACTGGGTCTGATTCTATTCTGATTTTATACACTGATGTATAACAGGAATAACTCCATTTAAATCAGTTGAATTAAATAGGTGTAAAGCCAGTGTGAGATCAGAATCGTGTTATGTTCATCCAATACTCACATCAACAATAATAAACTTTATGCATCTTTGTCTAACTTGTAAGAGGTCTGATAACTCCTCTCTAGTCTAGTTCAGCTGGGGAAAATAAAGAAATCTTTCTAGCAGCACAGGGAGACAACTTTATTTCCCCCCCAGCTTTCTAAGGTGATTAAAATTCTGCCTGAGCTCAGAAAATGCAATGTTTTTATGTTCCTTTTTACCAAACAAGGTTAGACATTCCTTTAGGTGATTTAGCATGACCCACCAGAGGCACGAGGCAAGAGATTGCATTAATCCAGCAGTTTTATTACTTAGAATTCCCAATAGTCTTTTTTGCCTTCTCTTTGGATGCATGGATATAGATACGCACTTGAATGGTGCAAGCAAACCAAATCCTTTCTGACCTTATGTTGTGCTCATTTTCCTACAGAATTCAAAGAGAATAGAACCTATTAGAGAAGAACACCATGTTCTCCTCATCTTTGTTCCAGAAGTAGCAGAAATTGGTATGTCAGGAGAATTAATCTTAATCAGTAG